GAATCAAGTGAGGATCGTGGACATCCTCTTGGACAAATGTAAGGAATTTGAGAAATTCTGTAAACTTATATAATATTTGGATTTACTAGACTGTAGTTGATGTCTGTTGTAATGATTAATTACATGTTCATGTATGTACGATACTGTATGTCCTGTGGGGTGGAGTCCTGTGTGTCAGAGGCTCCGGGATTCTATAATTTATCTATATTGTAATGCAGTTAAGTGTGGGACCCGGTCTGAGAATCTGCTTTATTAATCCCTAATTGAGCTCCACGTCACCCACCCCGTTTGGGGGGCGTCACAAAGGTGGTATCAGAGCCCTAGGTTAAGAAATCTCAGGATTGTACATACATGTGTGACATCTGTAATCCACTGAATAGTCTAGTATTATTTCAGTTGAAGGAAATGGCGCCTCGCCGTAGGCCTGCTAATCAACCGACACAACAGAATCAAGTATTTCTAGATGCCATGTATGCTGCCTTTCAAGGCATGGCCACAAGAGCTCGAAACGAGCGGCCGGTTGAGGATAGGAAGCAAGGGTACTTCCGAGAATTTAGGCATGCGCCTATCCCCTCGTTTAATAGTGAGGGAGGACCCCAGGAGGCAGAGTTCTGGTTAGACTCCATAGTCAAGCATTTGAGTACTATGGGAGTTTCAGATGAATATTGGGTGGAGTTTACGGTGTACAAGATGGAGGGCTTAGCGAACACTTAGTGGAAACAGGTCAAGAGGAGAATGGATGTTACAGGACTGACCTGGGAGCAATTTGAGACACTGTTCATTGAACAGTACTTCCCTCAGAGTTACCGGGAAGAAAAAGCGCTAGAATTCATGTCTCTGCTGCAAGGTGATATGTCTGTAAGGGAATATGAGGCCAAGTTCAATGACCTATCCCAGTTTGTGCCATCACTAGTAGAGTCTGAACACATGAGGTGCCTTAAGTTTGAGAAGGGCCTCAAGAACTCTGTGAGGAGATCCTTGGTGGCTCTGAGATTTGGTAACTGCTGCTACACGGGTGGAACATGATAACTTGGCCTATCACCAAAGCAAAGAAGTAACGGGTCAAGTCTCTGTCTCTGGTAGACCTTCCGTTTCGGGTGGACCACAACGGAGTGGTAGGAGAAACCGTAACCAGGGACAAACGGCTGGGGAAATGACAAGCGGTGGCAGTAGTTCGTCCGGAAGTGATAGAAATGCTCCATACGGGCCCAGGTGTCACCATTGTGGGCAGGTGGGTCATATTAGGAGGAATTGTCCTAATCGACCGCCGGCTCAACAAGCCCAAAGTGATGCTTCGTACAATCAAGAAGGGCCCCCCCCGTACATGCCACCATATCAGCCACAACAGATGCAATACCCTCCTGTGCCGACCTATCACCCACCTCTGCTTACACAATTCCGGCCTCAAGCGCCGAGACCGGTGCAACCACCTCCGCCGCACCAATATAGGCCTCCGACTCAACGGCCTAATGTTGGTGACAGAGGGAAAGGAAAGGTACAGGGACAAGCTTATGCCCTGGTAGGAGGCAGCTCTGGAGGTCAGACCAGCAACGCAGTGGTTGAGGGTATGATTCTAATATCTCATTCTTTTGCTCATGTGTTGTTTGACACAGGTGCCACACACTCATTGATATCAAGTTCTTTTGTTCGGGCCTTGAAACTAAAACCTGAGAATTTAGAAATCCCGATGACTTTGAACTTTCCACTGGGATGTGTAGAGGTAATGAGTGTGTGTAAATCGTGTGAGATTACGATTGGCGGTGAGCGAATGAGAGCAGACTTGATTATCCTTCCGATGAGCCTGTTTGATGCGGTCCTCGGAATGGATTGGTTGTCAGAATACGGAGCAATTGTTGATTGTTACCGTAGGAGAGTGACTCTGACGACTAAGTCTGGAACATCGATTTCTTATCAGGCAGATCTGAATCCAGTCTTAGGAGAACGACTGTTGAAGTACAGTGTTGGGGGACGGAGGAATCTAGCCTGTTTTTCTTCCCTTCTTGCCTTAGAAGGTGAACCCGAGGTAACTGGAGATAGTGTGGGAATCCCTGTAGTGGATGAATTTACGGATGTATTTCCTGATGAGCTACCTGGTTTACCGCCAGATCGAGAAATTAAATTCTGTATAGATTTAGTCCCGGGAATGACACCTATTTCTATTCCTCCATACCGGATGGCTCCGGCAGAAATGAAAGAATTAAGGATGCAGCTTGAGGAGCTGGCAGAAAAGGGGTATATCCAGAATAGTACTTCCCCTTAGGGTGCACCTGTGCTGTTTGTGAAGAAGCACGACGGATCTCTTCGGTTGTGTATTGATTACCATCAATTGAATAGGGTAACTGTGAAGAATAAATACCCACTGCCAATGATCGATGAATTATTCGATTAGTTGGGTGGATCACAGTTTGACTCTAAGATTGATTTGAGATCTGGGTACCATCAGCTGAAAATCAAGGAGGAAGACATTCCGAAGACTGCATTTAGAACTCGGTATGGGCACTTCGAGTTTCTGGTAATGCCGTTTGGGTTGACGAATGCCCCAGCTGCATTCATGGACTTGATGAACCGTGTTTTCCGACCGTACTTGGATCGGTTCGTGATCGTCTTCATTGACGATATACTGGTTTACTCAAAGACTTGGGAAGAACATGAGCAGCACTTGAGAATTGTCCTCCAAACTCTTCGTGAACACCAGTTGTATGCTAAGAAGGAGAAGTGTGACTTCTGGCTGACAGAAGTGAAATTTCTTGGGCATGTGATTTCTAGACAGGGAATTTCTGTAGATCCTTCTAAAATCGAGACTGTGCTACAGTGGGAGAGGCCGAAGAATGTAGCGGAGATTCACAGTTTTCTCGGACTTGCAGGGTACTATCGGCGTTTCGTGAAAGACTTCTCGAGCATCACTGCACCGATGACTCGGTTGACTAAGAAAGAAGTCAGATTCCAATGGGACGCAGAGTGTGAAAATGCTTTTTAGGAACTGAATGTTAGACTGACAAGTGCACCAGTCTTGACTATTCCTGATAGTGAAGAACCATATGAGGTGTATTCTGACGCCTCGGGAAGTGGGCTTGGCTGTGTCTTAATGCAAGGTGGACGCGTGGTAGCGTACGCATCTCGCCAATTAAGACCACATGAACGAAATTACCCCACTCATGATTTGGAACTAGTAGCGGTAATATTTGCTCTGAAAATATGGAGATGTCATCTCTATGGAGCAAAGTTTCAGGTCTTTTCTGACCATAAAAGTCTGAAGTACTTGTTTACTCAGAAAGACTTGAATCTCAGACAAAGGAGATGGGTGGAGTACATGAAAGATTACGACTTCACTCTACAATATCATCCTGGAAAAGCTAATGTGGTGGCTGATGCCCTTAGTAGGACGACGATGGGGACTCTGGCGTCATTAGCTTTGGAAGATTGGAAAAGGACGGAAGTGGTGAGTGAGTATGATCTTCAGTTCTACGAAAATCGTAACCAGGCTATGGTGTACAATCTGATCTCTACACCGGATATTGTGCAACAGGTTAAGCAGAATAAATGGCAAGATCCACACCTC